TWAWRWWGSWRRAMAWCATMWMYGCCRTWMWWCAKCWSCWYCAWCARMWGAKKAKWATAGGTKGATGCCAAGCGATKAATCCGTTTRTTACCAAACCAAAATTCGCCKTCTGGATTTCCAAAACCATCATKGTACYCAGGCTCTKTGTTATCRAAGTTTACAGACTGATCAAAACGTCTTTGTATGACAGTCCATCCGCCTCCATTCGTTTGCTGGTCGCAAGCACAGGTAAAATATCCTTTACCATCTGGATTTATTAGATAGAAGCCAGTGATTCTATGGCCTTTGCGCAGTAGATCAACGCAGTCACGACCTAAACATTGAAAGAAAGCAGAATAAAYAAATTTAMAATGAGGTAAAGAGAAGAMTGGTCATAAAACGTGGAATGACTTCTGACGATGAAGCATATTATAAATTTGACGATTCACATTTTAACGTGGATGCAAAACAAGATAGAAAAAAACAGCCAACGGGCTAATTTGAGTATTGAAATCTTCATTTATTGTGTGGCTGTTTTAAGGCAAGGCAGGAAACAGTCCCATTGACCAATCAGAAATTACGGTATATGATAATGATGATATTGTCAGTGGTAATAGACTAAGCTTAGAGCTGGTCTAGATTGGAGATGTAAGGCAGTCCATTGCAAGTTTCCTTTAAAGTTCTATACGCCTGGGTAATTCTTATTTAACATCGACATATTTTCTATGACACCACACTTTGGTGAGATTTTCAAAATCTGTGCTTAGTGCGGCTTACACGACTCTGTTATCATCCCTTTATTCTACTTTATGTTGATATTCTAAGATTCGATTATAAAAACGATGGATCGAAACGATGTATGCACATTTTCCATATATGAATATTCAAATCATGATTACATTGAATMCCGATCGACTTAATCCGTGAAACTTTACGATATTAATAGTCMTTCTTCTGTGACTAATAGTACAAACACTGGGTTGGATCACACGGCTTTAATCGCGAGGGATGTTGCAAATTGGAAGAGCGCACCCATATAMAACCCTGTAAAATATCTTGCATTATTCAGTCAATCAATTAAACAAAACGAAAAAGTACTTATAAATGTCGCTAGTTTATCATGCCATTAGTTGAATGCATTATAGGAATAAACTTTATTTAATGATGGTAAACCATTTTAGTCATAGACTAATCTACCACTGGGCCATCAACAACTCACAATCACTACATCTACATTAAGTATTTTTAGCATACAACACTCCTCACATGTTGATTTTTGCTGAGAGAGGAAAACCGGAGAACCCGGAGAAAAACCCTCGTGGCAAGGGAGAGAACAACACACCAAACAAACTAACATTGGTCCGTACCCGGGAATCGAACCCGGACCACAGCACTAGGCCACCCGTGCCACCCAAAAKTGGCGTATTTAGTGCGTATTTAGTTCATAATAAAACAATATCCCGATCTAAAAACTTAGTCACTATTTCACGGATTAAGTGCGTGCACTCTAGTTTATTGTTCAGACTCAGTTGCACCTTAAAATCGAAACATAATGGCACATATTTGATATTCTAAAAGTTCTCTGAATATTACCTTTAGCTAAGGGACACGTTGAATTTCTTTTCGTTACATTCATGGACACCCATGATCGTCCAACAAATGTTTTCCATGCATATAGATTGCCTTCTTCATTGTTGTTGCAAGAAAGTGACATTCTCGCGATATCACTGAAATCGCGGACAAATTTCCAAATGTTGACTTGGCTCATGTCGCCTTCAAATTTGTCTTTATTGACAAAGGTACCATTCCATGCGATCCCAAGTGTAATTGTAAGACTTTCTAAAMGTAATCTGCCCTTCATGTCTTGGTCCATGTGGGATGCTTGGAGTGTGCCGTCAATGTATACGTGTAATTTCCCAGTCAAACCGTCCCATGTCGTACACAAGTGATGCCAAACACCATCATGCAACAAACTTGGTACATTCAGTGTTCTATATAAATACGGACATGTTATTCATTAGTTCTAAATATAATTTAATTTCTAACTTCCGGMGCGGCTTTTCTGGTAGTTCTTGCAGGATGGYAKCTTTGTACTCGGCAAAAAATTCCCGTCCCACCCTCCCTTTGCCATGGTTTGGATTGCTGTATTTTTAGTGTAAGTATATCCATCTTTTTTGGTGTTTTGGGTGCCTATGGGGCGGTGAGCTGTGGACCCGGTTGCCATGATCACCTCCAGCGTRTGGGTTGGTTAGGCACGACCTCCCCTCTCATACGATGAATTTTTAGCCCACTTCATGAAACTTTATACACGCGACTGCAATGTTCGGGCGGTGGCAAACGAAAATTATTTGTGATTCGATTTGTTTGTGCATGTTTATATGTATTTTAAAAGCAGGACCTCTCCAAAGAGAGCGGCACCAACCACCATATTAATTAATTAATCCATGTCCAGTGTGTATATAAAAACGTTTTTTAACTGAAATTACTTATTCGATATAACGACACAAAGAAAGGTACGTTGCAAGTTACCCTTTTGTCGTTACCGCAAACGGCAGAAAAGATCACGTGACCTGCTTTTGGGGGATTTACCGTTACAGTTTCAACGGGGGAGTGGGTAATTTTGAGTTTGCCATCTTAGGTCATTGGTTCAGCTCTGCAGTTAGCCATTTGCCGTAAACGCGATGCTTAAACTCTCAATTATGTCATTATGCCCGCGATAAAATGTAACTATAGCGGAGCCCGTGAGTCTTACAATCTAACACCTACCTGTTCTTAGAGTTGATGTAAACGTGAATGCGATTTTGGCTGCTTGAAGAATCAGAAGCGACGTGGTAGGCGTAATTCTCATAGTGAATATGAACATGGTTCCTGTTACTGGAACTTGTGTTGAACCAGAAACACGTGGTTATGGCTTGCAAAGGTGATAGAGAGGGGTGATAAAAACCACGGGATTTGGTATTTGTAGAACGGAACACAAGATCTACTTGATTTGGATTGCCTGTAAATAATATAAGCAGAATTTGCTTATTGCATTTTCCCGTATACTTTTAGATTCTTTTGGTGATGCAACCTTTAATTTAATGGACACAATTGTCTCGCGGGGGAGGAGGGTATATTACCACCCCAACTTGGGTGGGAGGGTGGAAGACCTCAATACCCTGACCCTATATCCCAGACGTAGAATTTCGATTTTTCATACCCTACCTCAGACYAGACCTAAGAATTTTGTACCATCTTTCGCTAACTTTTAGACGGAATTTTCATTGTTTCTGTGTGAGTAAAATCTATTCTTGGCGTGCAAGTTACGTCATGGCCATCATGTTGGCATAACGACAGAAGATTACCCCTGGGTTCCCGAGGATGTCACACTGGTTAAAGCGCGCGATTTTTTCCAGTGTCATGTTGGATGAAAATCACAAAGCATTCCTCATTAGTTTCTCTTGTTCAGTCATCCAGCATGGCGGCGATAGCTTTGTTGTATATTTTTCAGGGGATTCTCGGTCACGTGGTTGCACACCAAGAATTCAGACTAAAACGACCAAATTGTAACCCAATCCTAGACGAAAAYCATACCATACCCCAGACAAAAGGACARACTGTACTCTTGTACGCCATATATTCGTGAACTGAATAATATTTAGCATTATAAAATTTTTGATATATAACGCGCGCTCTGATTGGCTGACGACCGTGTTTATATCAGAGGACAGAGACACGGCTTACCGGCAAAATTTGCTTTTCGCTCGAAAAATTTTATAAAATAAATATAAAACGGCCGCTTGTGTCTCTGTCCTCTGATATAAACACGGTGGGAATGAAAAGCACTCGAGAAGCAAGAGAAACACTCGCTACGCTCGTGTTCCTAAGYTTGCTTCTCTCGTGTTTTTCGAACTCCCACCGTGTTTATATCAGAGGACAGAGACACGCGCGCCGTTTTATATTTCAGCGTGCTTCACCGAAATGCTTTCGAATGATTTCTCGATCAAAGCCGAAAGAATTGCGAACATTCATCGGAATCCCACGGCGAAGCACATCTAAAGCAGTTTGGATAAAAAAACGTAAGGAAAACGTACATGGTAGTACRTGCTTGCGCAGCTATAGACTCACCAATGTACATGGTGTATAAATTCGAATAAAATTTACGAATAAAACCTCAAAGAAGTGTAATTTCTCGTCAACTTACTTGGGACGGTCAATTCAAAACCACTTGTCAATCCCACCAATAACGACACCTGTGATTGCATGAATGAGATAAATGAATTAAGAATCACGAAAAGAAAACAATAAGTATAATTTGTGCACATTTTTAAATTAAAATTTTGCATTTAGTATGAGCAGTGTTGGTAAAGTTGGTCGGTAACCGGGACGCGAGGAATACGTAACAGATGGCGAAATTCAATGAGTGGCGAAATTCAATGAGCTAGTCAAGCCGGAGTGAGGTAATGAAGCTAGAAACTAAGTGCTATCCAGTCTGCAACGTTCAATTCTTCGTTTTCAATATACGTCACAGCGGCCATCTTGGATGAACTTCAACAAATAAGGATTTCTCATTAGTGTGTCATTGTTTATTCATCCAAAATGCCCGTCGACCTTTTATCTTTAGAAACTCGTGAAGATTCAAAACGATCAATACTAATTACGAAAAGAGCCGTAACTCAACTTAAAATTAATAATTATCGTCATGCCATTTTCAACAGATTCACTTATAAAATGTGTTTTGACGAAAGAAGCAAAGAAAAAGAGAGTCACATATTTGCGTTTTCAGATCCATTTCTCATCCATCTGTTTTTTAAACTAATCAAGGAAAAATGGTTAGAATTGTTACTTGCGATAATAAAAGGAATTTCAATGCAAGGGACAAATTACCMAAAAACAATAAACCGTCGAGACTATAATGAGTCTGTACAAAAGATTTAATGAAACATTTACGAGCACAGGATATTTTTTGACGCAAGATTAAGGTGACATTTAACTTTGAATTCCAAAAAAAATGTTGAATCTTCAACCTAAAACGATCGATTTGTAAGATTGGGCATTKTTGATCGGTTTCGATTCGGTATTCAAATGTCAGTTATTATTGTTTATTTTTTAAAGAATGATAATTTTACAAGTAGTAAAACTATTCTTTACAACAGGAACCCCGCAGTCTTAAAACACRAACGCTAATGAGGTATTTTAGCAAACAGAATGAGCGTTTTATCTTTTTTGTTTTCTTAATATTTCTTCACAAATTCACAGTATAGGGTACATCAGCTGGATTTCGTAAAGGTTTGCAAATTACGAAACCTATGATCCCAACAAATTTCATAAGCTTATCTCCTTAGAAGACCTCCAAAAGAAAAGGTGCCAAATATGCTCGAATCAAAGCTCTTTTCTCTTAGGGTGATAGTTGTTAGCATAAATCATGGTTTACTCGTAATTATTCTAGCATGTATAGAGTTTCCTGTCCCTGTTCCTTTCGGTGGCTAAAAAAAGTCATGTTATCCTATCAAAGGTCTCAAATCAGTATCGAATGAATACAAAGACATGTAGCGCAAGTACTTTTAAATTGGTGAAAATATTTATTTAAATTACCGAATATGCAGCACCCGAACGCTTTGCCTATGGCCTATGATATCGATATGCTATTTGGATCTTTTCCCACTTGATACAACTCAACTTTTGTTTGTAGTTTTTCTGCTCTTTGTTTATTMTTTTTTTATTTTATTTTAATTATTTTTTCTGTTAACTTCAAAACTTTACTTAATCGCAAACTRTTTATCTTTATTCGTTGTAGTCAAGTTATGATAACTCAGTTAAAATACGCGTTAAACTGGGTGAGAATCTTTTCCTCTAGGTCCCCCTAACTAGTCTTTTAAAAACTTCAGTGGAACAATCAATAGTTAAAATCAGTGCGACATTTTACCCGTGTGAATTTTGCCTTTTAATCCATCTATCATTGAATTGATGTTTTAGCTACAAATTTCTAGACAAAGTGAGCCTTTGATTAACTTAAGTTCACTTACCGTTAGAATGTAAAATTTCAACATTATGGGTTGATTGAAACTGCGRACGTCAGTTTCAAAAGTCCAAAAGCTACATGACTCATGTAAGCTTCATGGCTTACTTCACTGACAGGTGAAATGAAGAATGTTTGTGTGTTACCAAACTTTTATGTATTTTTATGTAACAAATTACCACATGCTATTGCAGATACAGAGGGAAAAATTACGCTGTAATTACAAGTAATTAGGACATTCATCTGTAATACCAATGACGAAAAACCCCCTATCGAATTCAGACAATAAAATGCACATACCGAATTACTACTGGWACAGTAGCTCCGWACTCAATGTGATTGAATGGAGTCATTTTACAGCAGTGTCAGCACAATTATCAACAACTTGGAAAATCTAATGTTATTGAACCAATGAAATAATTTCAAACAAAACGCAATCACTTCACCTTTAAATTAGGCGACAAAAACAGAAAAAAAGAAAAACAAACAAAACACACGAATAAATAGCATATTGTTGATACCCACACACCTCTTATAGTCCCCTCGGCAATTCGGTTTGATTTAACTCTTGAAGTGCGAGCTCCGAGCTTTTCAGTACTTGTCTCGGTCTGTCTCCGAAAGAGTATAAGGGTCGTATAACAATCGATTATTTACTTTGTGAGAGGGGAGCGTCAGGGTTTGCGGTATTTCCATAAAACACTTTTTATTTGGTATTTTGCTGAGCCTTGCACATTATTCTAACATTAAMTATGAGACGATTACATGTACTCGAGTAACAGAAGTTGATTTCCCACCCACTACTAGAAGTTTATTGTCAGTGNAAACGACAAAAGAAAAACAATTAGTGTAATTTCTACAAGAGAAAATCACTTGACACTTGAATATTAACTCAAATCATTACACATGTAACTAATTTGAATCTTAAATTGAATTTGCTAAATTATTTTGGGCAAAACCAGGAAATCTAAAAAAACAGAAAAAAAAACTAAAAAAGTATGAAGTAATAATGATCTTGATCATAATACTGTCCAATAAGAGTTAATTAAACATGGTTGAAAGACACCCTTATGAGAAAAATCTGAACAAGTCTTGAACATTATACTATTTCATTTCCAGATCCTTTAAGTCAGTCCCAACAGAAACGAATGATTTTAKATTGGTTCAAAAATTCCCATGCCTCATATTATTCCGGGGTTTCCAGTTTTGTCTCTAACCAGAGCCTTTTCCATTTTCCATTGGGAAACTGAGAAAGATTTGGGTACAGGAATGATACTAACTTACAAAATCAATAGCATAACGGATGGACATTACAGCTGCTATATATGAATGATTTTGATTAATGATTTGAAGTCGAGGCTTATACTGGCTTATATCAAGCCTACTGTTTTTGAACATATACCTCTAATCAAAGCTATTGTTTTTGAAATGAAGTGTGAATGAATGAACATGGGAATGTTAGCAAAAAATTCAAAATGGCAAAAACAATTGTTAGCTAGGTATGTTCTTCACATCGCAGTGTCTCGATCTAAACCTCATTATGTATACAGCTAATCAATGTCACAGTATACATAATGTAGATCATGATAGCAGTTGTCAATCTTGRTTTCCATTAGACTTGTCCAAGGGCCATCTTGACCAACTCCAAAAAAGCAAATTGGAGACCGTCAGTTAGATGGAGGACCTCACATGAATGCTGAACTAAAATATGGTGTTAGTTGACTCAAACACACTCACCTTGATTTCTTCACGGGATATTTTCAAACCTTCTTTCAAGGTCAAAGTGGTTTTGAAGGCTGTTTCTGTGTGCTAGCTGAGTACCAGACTTGCAAATGCAATTGTGTATAACTTACTTAATTAAACGAAACACCTCTTATTACATTCCCAAACAATCTAAATAGGAAACATATAAGTATATATCACATTTTTTTTGAAATAATCAGTATAGTCTGTGCATAGTTCATATTTCACAACTGAAACCAACACAAGAAAATTGCAAATTAATTTTTGGCTTTTGAATTTTCGCGCTCTGACACGGCGAAACCACCACATGCATAAATTTAGTTTGATGTCGACCCGGCAATTTCAATCGTATTTAATCAGATTTTTGGTGAAAATAGTCCGTAAGAATTCGAAAAAAGAATAATTACTATATAAAGATACCTTTTATTTACAGGGGCACCTTGCTAAACTCGAAAAAGTTGATTTCTTGACTGGTGAAATMTCCACAAGTCGGCGCATTCCATGATACTGACGCTGAAGCCTTTTGGGTTTCCTGTGGTTTTTGAAGGCCAGGTTACTCTTTCAGCAAAACACATGCTTTTGAGTTCCATTTTAAACAACATGGGAAAAATCAAGAAAACAAGGGAGAGACTTCATCAAAAAGCCGTACGATTTGCTGATAAAACACCAGAAGAGAATCCAAATGAGGTGACGGCATTGACAAAATGTGTATATATCGRTTTTTTAGTTTTCTGTAATGTTTTTGAAGAAGAACCTTCTACAACCGCGTTTGCATGTTCTCTATTTCCTATATTAAGCTTATAAACGTAGTCACAAAAATAAAAACGTCCTATTTCTCCCTGTGTTTTTTGTTAGAACAGTTTAAAGACAATAGAAGCTTACSATATGTTACTGTTATATTATATTTCATTATTTACAAATCAACTGTATTGTTTATTTTCCATTTATTTATTCAACMCTATATTTAGTCATCCTTACCAGCTATTTTCCCAATAACTGGTCTGTTCACTGAGACCCAAACGCCAGATGTTCAGGACCCTAAGAAAACAGCCAGTAAAAAGGACAAGCGCAAAGAAAGACATGAAAMGTTYCTTAAAAGTAAGTTGATGAGTTTATAAAATTGCTTGAGTGGCTTATAAGCTACTTTTAGCACTGCAAGTGTTGCAGTGCTGATAGGAACCCCACAACCTTACTGCTGAGTGCAACAATTGTCTTGGTTTTAAATTTGCCTGAATTCATTTAAGATAAATAAACAAATTATATCTTCACTTTAACTGACAATTTAACTGATTGTTCTTGTTGTAGAGCTACATGGGCACAGAGCAGTAGAAGAAAGTATAAAAAAAGCTGAAAAAAGATCAAAAACTGTCATTGTTGGAGATATGGAACCTCTGTTGTCAGCTTTACCAACGATTCTTCAAGCAAAACCCAGTGAAAGGTAGTTTTCTCATTAAAAAGTTCTTATCATTGGATGGTAAAGGCATGTATATACAGGGCGCATTGTCTTGATAGGCAAAAATTGCCTATCAGAATCCAGTTTCAATCGTAACAAAAACAGCTAGAAGGTGTAAATATACTACATGTAAATTGTAGAAAAGCTTTGTACTTTTCTTCTTTKCCTGAGATGATGTAAACTTTTGTTTCCTAGGGACAAGGGACAGGAACATTTAGGGAAGAAAAAGAAGTTGTCAAAGAAATCAAGACAGAAAATGCAGTAAGATTTTTCACTTCCTTAATTATTTTACAGAATAATAAAAAAAACTCATTTGTCACAAATCAAAATGAAGGTCTGGGACCAGAATGATATTAGTTCTGTAAGAAGTGTAATTGTCGGTTTTGGAGTAATGTGTGCTTTGTGACTAGATCAGTGCAAGTACAGGACTAGTGCAAGTCCCTTTTTCTCCTCTAAAAAAAAACACACAGTAAACCCAAACCCAACAAAAAAGTTGCTTGTAGKGAAGCCCATGATGAACAAGCCTTGGGTTGCGGCTCCCTTTGTGCCAAGTTGTGCTAAATAATCCATTACATTGATTAATGGTCATGGCTGTCTWTTCTTACAGAATTGCAGAGATTGAACATTTTCAGCAGGTTTTGAACCACCCCGCCTACCAATCAGACCCTGTGAATGCAATATCAGAACATCTCAAGCTTTCTATACAAAGAGAGACAGACACCAAAACATAACGTACAGTAATTTGTGGAATTGTGTACGATTTTGAATTTTAATAAATTTGATTYATAACTAACACCTTTTAGCAGTACATGCTCTGATGAAGTGAAAATTAAAAAAAAAATGACGAGAAAGCATTCAGCTTGATTGGTCTTTCAATAAAATACGTTGCGTGACGACACAGGGGCAGCTTTTAAAGGCGTGTATTACACAATTTTTCGCATAGGTCTAAATCCGATCGAAAGAACATTTTACCTTACATAGCTTCGAAGCCAAGACCCAAATGTACCGTGGAAGAATTTTTCAGCTCCCGAACACACTGTCTGCACTGAATAAGTATGGCTTTATCTATGAGAAATTTTGATAGAACGCCCTTAAGCTGCCTTACAAATGGGGGGTTCGTTTTTTCAATTGAATGTCTAAGTAAATTAGTTTAATGCACAGATAATAGTGTGTAAGGACTGGCTGCTAGAATGAGCATGAAATAAACCAAAAAAAGAAACACCGGACCTTTTAAGCTCCCCACCAGCCTACCGGCCTGGATAGTGTGCATGTCTGGGTGTAAAGATATACCCAGAATCCTCTATGGTCTTAGCCTCACTGTGACATTTTTGAGCGCGACAATTTTTTTTGAWTTAGGTGTATACATAAAGGGATTGAAAAAAAAAAAACAAAAACAAAGCAAAAAACACAGGTTACATTCGTTCTGGTGTCGTTACATAACTTCATCCCCTCGGCAAGTTTAGGGCYCCATGCTAGTTCCAAATTGATCATGGCATTCAAGATCAATCCATCAACTTTGTTTGTAGGATATAGTTCACTAAACAACGCGAAGGGCAAAAAGCAAATCAAAGGTAAAATAGGCCATAAGCGAAGGGTTGAGACAAATTACTAAAACACCCTACTAGTCGAAAGCCAGCATGAAAAARCCAAGAATAGCGAATATAACGAAAACAAGAAAGGAAATTTCCAAAAGTGAACTAATCAGATAGAGCTCACGCAGTTACCTGWAAATAATGATTAGTACTATATTTTTTTCAAAAAAAAATCGGAAATAAAAGAGTCTTCAAGTCTCTCGTATATCCTTAAAAATACTTGATATTCCTGAAATATTACCGCGGTTAATAAAACGTTGTGAGCCTTGCGCTGAAAATGATAAGTCAGCACTAGATGATAATAATGATGACAATGATGATGATGATAATGATGAGAACCCCTGTAACCGCATGAAATTGATATAAGTATATCAAAMCAGTCAGAAAAGTTAAGCAAGTATCAAACTGTTAAACTTGTATGTTACATAGTATTTTCTTTAGTTCCTTGTGAAAACCAAAAGCGCGACCCTGTTTTTGATGCCCTGGCGAAGGTAGGACAGACGAAGTGACATGATAATTGGGTTGATGAGAGACTGGAGGTGAATAACCGTTGCACAAGAGTAAATTGACAAGTACTTGAAATTGGTCGTGATGATATCCCCAACCTTCAAGCTTTCTATCACTGYTACTGATATGTAGGGRGTGTATAAGACAACTGACACAACAGCCAACATGCTCATCATGAACACTCGCTTGTATTCCTGAAGTCGCCGTTGCTGTTGTAGCTGTTGGTTGGGCTGTTGAACTGATGCTAGCTGCTGGGCGATGTTTCTACTTTGGCGGAAAGCTGTTAGCTGAACTTTAAGTGAACAGTACAGTATGATTACACCGAGAATACTCATGGCAAAAATTGGTGGAACTTTATAAAGTGTAGAATGGTTTCTGTTTAGTACGACGGTAGCAATCAACAAATAACCCAGGCATACCATCCAGGATATTACTGTTGCTAGCATGACCTTCTTTCCTGTAAAATTTAAAGCAATGTTTTGATGTTCTATAGTGAGATACCTCTCAATACACGCAATCGTAAAGCTGACGGACGTCATACAACAGAAGGCAAGGGACGACAAAAAATAAGCTGTGAATACACAGTCTGGCGGGAAAAAATCATTGAGAAGACATGCAATAAGTAGACAGAACAATGGCTCGACCAACAATCCTACAAGGAAATCAGTCACTGCCAAAGAAGCAAGCGAAATGTTGAAGGCAGAAGATCGAAGATTTTCATTTCCCACAATCGTCCATATAACAAGGGCGTTGACGATGATTGTCAGCTGGGCAGCAAGGCCATTAACAACAGCGAGGAAAATCCAAGTTGTCTTAACTGAATCTGGGTGGTTCATACTATTAGGATCAAACKCCATAATCGACATGAAGCAGACGTCTGGTAAGGCACTTGAAGAGTTATTTATCACAGAATTCATCATACTTGATGACCTTAGAAGAATCGATAAAAATGTTGCTGATCAGTGTATTATCTTWGAGAAGTTAAAGAAAACGTTTTCTAAAGATATGATACTTTTGAAGAGTTRTTTATAATGGCATGCATCTTAAATAACATAAAAAATACCCGATTATTTTGAAAGATTTAAAAGTCGATATATATAATCTGCTGACGCATCTTTTAGTTGCGAGAAAACATCACTTTAAGATTTGTTTAGAGATAGACTATTAGCAATATTGAAAGATAATCATTTTACCAWGGAGGAGCAGCTGAAAGATGTCGATGACTTCAAATTGATTTGTCTGAGAACAACTTTTAGTTGTAGACTGAGTAGACTAATAAGACAAAAAATTAYGGAATATATTTTCGCGCGTTGTTCCCAAAACTTTAGCTCCTCCCCGGATGGCATATGTAATTATGCCGGAAACCTTGTTTGGTCTAGAATTTTTTTATATTATATGTTAAGTAACTTCTAAGTATCATTCCATGGCAAAAAAAACTCATGTTAAGTTTACTGTAAGTTTATTATTCTAAAATTCTAGTTTTGTGAATGATTACAAAACTCACAAGCATGGATCTAAGTACTGTAGTTTCTTTAAAGTTCCTGCTGAGTGTTTCAACAGAGAGCACCTACTAAAGCCAAAAATATAGATACAAGTCAACAGTGCTCTTTACTMCAAAACAATAGCCGACTTGCGAGTTTTGACTCAGTAGTCACACACAAAGGAATCAAGACGAGGCGTCGTGCATAAAGCTCAGTCATTCGTGAAAAGACAATAGTTTTTCAYGATTGACTGAGCTTTACGCACGGCGCCTCGTCTTGATTCTTTTGTCTTTGACAATTGGAGCGAAATTCGCAAATCGGCTATTTCATAGTCTTTTTTTTGTCAATATAAACTCTCGCTATGTAAAGTATCTTAAGCTTTTATAATTAACCTGTCAAAAGGCGAACCCAAAAGGCTGTCGGATTTCCATCGGTTACACTTGTAATTTGCAATGAAATAATTCAATACTAACATGTTGTTTGCTATTGAAAAGCAATCAATCTTACATACTGCTTTACTTCCTAAAACCAGTGGGAAAGGGGAGGAGGAAGCCCTACTGGATCTTCCCAGACTTTTCGCCGTCTGAATGTTGACCATTATACTCCCTCTCTTTATGCGGTGTGCATATATAAAGTGCATGATAGTGCACTATACGTTTATTAAGCTCACAATCAAATGATCGAGACAAGCTTGCGAGATGATTGGCGATAGGATTTCAGCTCATATAAAAAAAATACAAAAACAAAATAATAAGATGGCGGCTACATTTGTCTCGCAATTAACAGCATAATTGCTTAAAACCATTGGTTAGGAACATAATGACATTATTAGAATTATTCAAATCTGCACGGATCTCGTTTTRAAATGACTGATATCAGAACATTTATGACTCGCTGTTGTTGAGCCACGTATTTCAATTTCATGAGATTTTTTATGATATGAATTCAGTTATGAAGAGTTGTACGTCATTTATACTCAAAAAGCCAAATATCTTCCAGCACTTTTTTTTTGCAAGGCCGGCGAATATTTACATTGTGCTGCTATTTTAGTTCGGTTCCGTTTTCCCGCCTTTACTTTAGACTGCGCGAGCGCTGGTCGTGACGCTGTTTTTCTACCGCTTCACGCCAAATGCAAGTTAAACACGGAAGTGCTCGGTTTGACTGGCAAATCAGTCAATCTATCTGGAAATTTCTCTTTTTTAACTGTTTCGACAACCCAGCAAACCTTGGAAAATTATAAGAAGCCTGCGTGCATATGACCAGACTGAATTTCAATTTCGGCTTGTTTTTCAAGCATCATTTCAGTCAATCCATTTTATATCAAAATTCAATTAATCAAATAGCGAATCACGMRGCAGTAGAGTAAACACAAACTTTCCTTCGAGCGTTGTGCAATTGATTGGAGCATGATTTGCAGCCTTTATAAATGAGCTTAAAAGCGCTCGTCTTTTTCAGCTTTTTTCGGTCCGTTTGAACTTGGTGAGACGATTTTCGGAAAAGGGAGTGTGGCCGTTCAATTAAAGCACTTAAAATATCTAACCTCGCGGTTGCTTTAAAGGTCTACAAAAATAAAACATGAAAAAATCCCTTTTACTCGAGCCGAGTCCCTTGGGTTTTACCTAACTAAATTAAATTGGAATTAAAGGGACAAAAATTAGTGTAATAGATTGAGAACTTGGATTATTATTATCAATTTTTTTTCAATTTTGAATGAGTTGAATCATGGGTAACCTTGAGTCAATCATCATCTATTGAGAAGGTACCTCATAATTTTGTATATTAATTGCATTGTATTGTATTTTTAGGTGGGATTTTACAAACTTGAGTATTTCTAAAAGAACAAGCTTATCTYTTGATAGAAAGATTACAATAGATTGTCAAAAGATTAATTTGATTGTCGTTTTGCATACTAATGTCCAGTCCATCTTAGTCCCTTTAGTAAGTAAACAGCATGTCACAGAAAAACAAAGTCTCAAAGAAGACACAAACGAGGGAGTTTGTTTGGACGTGTTTGCGTACTGTAGCCTCCATTAGACTTCTTTTAGCTTTGCAAATGGTGCTGAACAGGAAGAGATGCACGACGAAGTATCATCCCGAAAAACACCTATGCCTTTGCTAAAGAGTTGCTAAAGCACAGCAAYTGACGAATTTTCATTCGATGAAATTTCAAAATGACTGCTTCCTATCCTTGTAAGTATTTTCACTCTTGTTTGGATTGTTTTAGATTCAAGTAAACATTTCGTYATGCCTTCCTTCGTTTTGTAAAGCACTAGTTATAAAGTTTTAAACATTTCGACGTTGGTTATTGTAACATTTCATTTTGGCTTGCGTAGGCTTGCGACGGATCAGAACAAAAAACAAAAGTTGCCAGCGACTCCTTGATTCAACATGTCAAAACAAGTTGACTGAAGGATTTTGGCTTGTGACAAAACGAACTTCAGCCGCAATTTCCTTCTTGACTAACAAGATGAAGAGTGTGCAGGTCTAATTGACCTACACCACCGTTCAATTAACGTCGACATTGTCGGCCGTTGCATGGTTTAACGTCGAGTTAGTACATGAATAATTTGCCCTAAATAAACACGGRCCAAACGCTTTACTGATAGATTATCTTTTTAGTTTCCTGAAACATAGACGTGTATATGCGAATCTGAAACGATGAATTATTCAAGTTTCCTTTTTTCAAAGGCAAATGATGACGTTTTCTTGTAAGAGCTCAGGCACTCATGAGAACCAAGCAAATCATTCTCTCACTGCAAACACTCGACATTAACGCTCATTTATTAACCAAACCACAATTGCAAATAATAATATTACTGCATGGAAATTGCCGTTAGAACGTCAGTGGTAATTGCACATGYGAARAAAACTTTATTGTCGTAAATTTGGTCGTTTTCTACATTTTATTTTGAAYGTGCGACAAAAATAAGTGAGATATAGAACGGCTTTCGTGGGGTCTTATAAACAATGCTTTTACGTCGCTATTCAGAGACATCTACATCTCAAAAGCATTAAYAGGAGATAKAGGATTTGTGGCGATGTTCTCTGTGGGGCGTCTTTTATTAAAAGAAGACGATCATTAAAATATTTCTGGCGTCAATCTTYACRACAGTGCAACTGAAGTGTCGCTGTTTTTGACCACCAATTGGAATCGACCAGGACCAATTGACTACTTAAGCACAATGAAGAGCAGCTGATATACAATGGAAAAAAATCCAACTATATTATACAACTTATAGTTTTTAATCTAAAAAACAAGAACGGAAAGGAAAACTAAGTTCYGTTTCCAAGTTGAGCTCAATATAATAGAGTTTGAAGCGAATTATGTGCGCGCTTTCTAAATTGTTATGACTCTCGCGAAGAATGGTAATGTTTTTGAAGAGGAAAACACCCATTTGATGTGACAACCTATACAACCAAAACCCGTCTCGGTAGATAGCGATTGCCGCTTTCCAGTTTGATGTCTCAGTGTTGATCAACAGAGGAACAAAAGTGGAATTACCATCTAAGGGTTTTTCGAGCAAACATATCTCGATTTATCTGAAATCTTGATAAAACTTGACRAAAAGGCGCGAAATGGAGATAATTTTAATTTTCGTCCGAAGATTTGTGAATTGATAGGCTGCATGCATGAAAGCAAGTGGCGGGAAAATATGATGTGAATTAATGGTGTTTATGGATAAGGCGCATGGCAACCTTCGGTAAACACAGCCAGGTCGACCAAGGTAAACACTCAAAAAATCTGAAATCAATGTTTATCTCGATTTTTTACCAGTTTTCCGTCATGTTTATGTCAGTTAATCATTGGGATTTTTGTTTTTAAACCTTATTTTGTCTAAAAATACTTTACATTGCCTGAGGAGTATTCATAGTGTTGGCTTATGCAGCATACGATCAAAAGTAAGATGCTATAAAGATTAAATTCAGTATTATAACAGAGTTTACTAATATTAAGATAGCCGGAGCTCTTTCCGCTACATCTTTCGTCCGCAAATAAAAAACAGGATTATAAAGGGTCTCTTTTCAAAGCCAAAAAGCACCACTTTAATTTTTATTTTTGTTTGGGTAAGAGGGCCAAAATCTCCAAGTCATTGATTAAGCTCTAATCTAGAACTATTATTAACATCACCAGATACTCCGTTAGAACAACCCCTTTTAGGTTAATTCATAATTGTGYTGTTGATAAGTTATACAATTTTCTGGACGCAAAAACATCTGCCCGATTTCACATAAACTGTGATGAATGACGAAATAGAAAAGCAATTTATCATAGACTTTTTATCGAAATGAAATGTCGAAATGTCTAGTGACTTTTCTATACGGTTCCTATCAGATTTCCAAAAATATGTTGATTTTTATATCATTCATAAAAAATTAATTTTTCTTATTTATTTAAGGTGAAGACACATATATTAACTAATACGTCCTCGTACAGTGCCAACACTAAAACCACTGAAAACTTTAGTAATTAGATAGTAAATAATACTAAATTATGCGAATTCCTTTCTTTTTTACTGTCTAATCTACACTTATTGAGCGATTTAGATTTAGCACTATTTCATGGTTGGTATTTTTTCACGCTTTCAGTACTCTACTCGTTCATTTCGGTTTACGATCGTTTTCTTGTGCGCGTTGTTCTGAATTATTTTTTCATGGGTACAATATCTTCACTTCTCTTTCTTTAGGYTATAATTATTCATTCATTCAAAGATTTCAATACTTAGTAAATTATTTAGTTCTTTAACTTCATAACTCATTTGTAAGATTGATGTATTTTATGTATATTTTTTTCTGGGATATTAATTTTAATATCTTACTTAACCTCCATATTGCAGTAGAATCATAACTCTATTATTTAATGTATTCCTGTCACATGATATATAGAAAGTAGGAACCGGACTTTACGAGTCTATTATAATTTTCAGCATTCCAACGACTKCTGTCATGTTTAGAGGAGATTCGAAACCAGCTCGACAACAAACAAGATGACTTCATGTTTTTGAACAATTATTTCAGCAGTCAAGAGTTTCAAACACTTTTTAAGGTAAGAACAACGAATAGTGAAAAGCAAAGAGCAAAAAATAACAGTTCATTGCTTTAGGTCTTTTGTGATAAAGCCAACGGAAACTCGACGGTCAGAAACCTAATTCAATATAACCTGTCACAGTGCGTAGATGGACATCTAAATACTTTTTTAATTCTGCTTCCTACTGACGAAACATTATGCTAAAATGCTTTTTATAGACAGACGGTCAATGTTAGGTCTTTATAAAAAGGTCTTTATAAAAAAAAACAAAGTGGAGTCAATAAAAAATATTTTGTTATYAAAGTAAATTGAAATAACGTCATGGACAGGCTAGAAATGCCGCTGGCTCAAACGACGAGTTCCTCACGTGTCGAATTCAATGCAAATTAGATAATAAATAGAAACCAAACTTATATGCATTGAATTCGAYGTCTCAAACAGGCTTAAATCTTTATCAGTTTGTCCACTTCACAAAAATATTATTCTTTCAAAAATATCATGAAAAGACTAATAGATTGTCTGAGTGATTGTCACGCGATATTGACTGGGAAATATTGATTCCTCATTCTGGAGTTTAGATTTAKATCATCTTCATGATCTGAGGTATTTGACTCGACTTTGTTAAAGTCTTTAGTCGCCTTGTAATCTTAAGACCTCCAAAAACTACAAGACAGTACAATATTYTATTCTTACTTTGAACAATTTGTCATTAGACGAGGACTGAAAAAATTGATATTCTTTTTCTTCTAGGTTCATAATGTAGTCACCTTTACTGAGTCACAGCGGAAAGAACCAGTCAACAACAGTGCATTGGATCTTTTGCAAGAGGTTCGTTTCCTTATTCTCACTGGTAATTCCTGGAATACATTTAGTTATCTTATTGTGTTTTAGATTTGCGATGATCTTAATGAAACAATCGACGGTGAAGATGCACATGAGCTCAAAGGTCTACTCATGCTTCCTCATTTGCAAGTAAGGCAGTGTTGATTGTACACAAGAAAACGAAAAGCAACAGCAACAACGACAAGAACCACCACCACCACCACCACAACAACAACAACAACAACAACAACAGCAACAACTACCACTTCTGCTACTGCTGTTTCTATTACTACTATTACTACAACAACCAACATACAATTAGAACGAATCATAAACAATCAATCATATATAATAACATTTCTAACTTTTGTTGGACCGCCACAGGCTTTGCTACTGGCCCATGATCGAATCGCTGCCAATGATSTTCCAACCACTGAGCAAAGCGAAACTCTTTACACCTCTCCAAAGATACCAAACCAGACATACGGCACAGGAGTACCTGTTAAATACATCACACTCATAAAGAGTGGCAACGATCCTTTAGTAAGTAATATTTAATTTCGGACCATCTTTTTCGAATGAGCACTGACTCAGCGCCATCAAWGGRACGTCGTACATTGCACTGAAACGTCAACTGAACTTGCAATGTTAGAGAAAATTCTATAGGAATAAAGATCTTTACGCCTTTAAAGGTACCACGAAAAGTTAAAACGTGATATCTTTAGAGGTCTCAGTAGAGAGCATTTGGGACATATGCGTACTTGGTAACATGACCACGCCACGCCCTTGAATTTCCAGACAGTCTTTAACGGTGTAACTAATAGTTCTACACAAACATTCGAATCTTTCAGGGCGCCACAGTTGTTCAAGACCCAGACACTGGCGACATTATGGTCGCAAGAATATTACATGGAGGTGTAGTCGACAGAAGTGGTAAATTGTGATTTGTAAATTCACGAGTAACTCTCATTCAACATGCTATCATTGTTATAAAAAAAAAACGTAAGAACAATAGGCGCTGCTTCGAATTTGTGTATAGCTTTGTGGTATACCTTATGTGCGTCATACACTAGATTGGAAAGTTCGAGTTCAAGCGGGCAACCGCGAGTCATAGAATACAGATCACAGATCTTTGCGCATCAATCTATTCTCACCATGTGGCTGGAAACCCGCATGAGCGTTCTTCGAGCGTCTAGTAATTTAGCAGTTCATCTCAGCTGAAACACGTTAACCATTCACTAAAGCTAACTAAAGTACAACACACTTCACACATATTGACTTTCAAGAAGAAAATGAAATCCAACAGATGAAAACGCTCAAGACGTTTTTTTGAATAAAGTACCAGAAAACTATCGAAGTGAACAATAATGATGATCTAAAGAATAAAAAGTATATTCAGACACTATTTCTACGCTAAGGCAGGCTGATTGTATTTTGTGTTTCAGGAACTCTTCAAGTAGGTGACGTCATTCAAGAGATCAACGGCACAAACGTCCATGGGAAAACAACTGATGAAGTCGTTGAGATTATGGTGAGTGAAAGCTTTTAAGATTAAGACAACAAAACCATTTCAAGTGAAAATAAAGCCTTCAGGATATGCCAGCGGATGTATTGCATTAATTGGAAAAGTGTTTCTAATATACCTAGCTTTCCTWAATTACTAATATTGTATAACAYGCGCKTTGATTGGACAAGTAACATATCTTGCACGCGCGCGTCAAGATTTTCATTTTTCCCGCTCTTTTTCATCTCGATTTATATTTGCTAATATTTTGCTCTTTTCTTCTATGAACTACCTTTATAACTATAAACGCAAAATAATTAYTTTAAAATAAATTTAGAGATGAAATAACGAGTAATATAGGATGTTTTTCCAATATGTAGYCACAACAAAAACTACTTGTGCTCTTTCTTATATGATTTTCAAGGAGAAACTGCTAGGATCAGTGATGTTTAAAGTAATTCCGGGTACTCAAGATAAGAAACTACAAAATGAAAGCAATAAAGTAAGTACACGAAACGTAGTCTTACAAAGTTTCCTCTGACGTTTGGCGTTAATAATCGAGACGTTTCCGCCACTACATATAAACATGACCATGTGGTCTAAAAGTAAAAAAAATCATATCCTTTAACGTGTTATTGCTTTTAAACTCTATAATAATGGTGGACTGGCGGATCTAGAACTTTACAAAGGGGTTGATACTATCTAAAAATATGTAGATAATTGAAAATTGGGATGTTTACAGCCTTTTGCACAAATTATGAGACATTTTTATATATATAAATATACCTAACCAAATATCAAAAACACCCCAGAAATTATGGGATACCGTCGCTGATATTTTGTCATGATTGCCTAGCATCAGGTTGTTACAGACAAAATATCAGCGACGGTATCCCATAATTTCTTGGGTGTTTTTGATATTTGGTTAGGTATATTTATATATATAAGAATGTCTCATAATTTGTGCAAAAGGCTGTATCTGACTATATATTACTATATAATAGTAATAAACATGCCTTTCTGATGATTTAGTGTCTCAAAAAATCATTATATAATATATTGAAGAGATAAATTTTGAGCTGCGGGGATTTCCTTCAGATGAACTCTGCTTTAGATGTTTTTCAGAATTGGTCCCATTCATGTTTTTTCTTTTATTATTTATTCATCATTTTTATTATATTATTTATTATCACCCCCTTTGGAACAACCCTTCTGTCTAAATACATGCCGATAATTTTCGTGTTATTTCTTTGACATTATAATATAGAGAGCTTGTGCAGGCTAGCAAGGCTCGTGAGTTATGCTTTTGTATTTAATTTATACATTTTTTATTTATTTATTTTTTATTGAACTTTTTTGCGTACTTAGTTTCGTCTGCGAGCCYTGTTCAATTACGATCCCAGCGAGGATGAGTTGATACCATGTAAAGAAGCAGGAAAGCCGTTCAAACAAGGTGACATTTTACACGTGGTGTCACGAGACGATCCTAATTGGTGGCAGGTGGGGAGACATCAAATCTAAAACAAACCGATTTATATACACCTGACAGTCATTTACTTTCTTTTAATATTTGGAGCTTTTTTAGAGGCTGATCATCCTCAATCGTCACAACTAATGTCCATAATATTTTTTAATGATTTATTTTAAAATTATATCTTTGATAGGCAAAAGAAGAAGGTTTCGCTGGTGCTCCTATAGGTCTTATTCCCAGTAAACAATTCCAGGAAAAGTAAGCTAACATTTTTGTAACTTCTAAAGTCTAATGGTCACGTAATAGATCCCACAGTGATTGGTTAGTTGACTGATGATTGATTGATTGATTGATTGATACATAATTCCATAATTCTATGAATTGGAGTGACACTAATGTTGACTATCTACTCGATTAACTTGCTGTTTGACATATCGGTTGTATGATGGCCCGGAGGGGGGAGGAGTGCACTGGGACTCCGGGGTAAAAGTACTCCGGGGATGCTCGTCAGACATTTTCAAAAAGACCCCCAAAAGATCCAGGAAGTCTCGAAAAAGGGCTTGGCAGACTGGTTTTTAAACCCCTAAGAGATTGCACAACAAATATTGTTAAATTAATCAGTTCCAATGATAAAAAACGCAGAGCAAAATCAATTTCGATGAAATCTTTCTCTTCTTTTCCGACACCATAAGAGACTGCAGAAAATACAAATATCCAAAAACTCCAAATTGGCACCCTAAAAGATTCCCAATCACAAMTGTTTACCCCTAAGAGATCCGCGACGAGCATTCCAGGTACTTTTACAGAAAGCTTAAACTCTTTGATTAATCAATTGATTGATTTACTGATTGATGATCGATTGAATGAGAGATTGTTTGATTGATAAATTCGGACTTATTTTAACTAATTGCACAGGTTTATAACAACGCACCGTTTAACAGACTAATTGACCTTGTTTATCAAACATTTTTCCAGGCGTTTTATATTCGATAAGATACTGCGTGCTGAAAAACAGAATCAAAACAGAAAGGACGGCAGTAAGTTTGTCATTTTATAAAGTTACTGCGGCAGTATTTAACACATAGAAATCTCATTAATTTAGTCAGATCAATATTACAATTCAAGAAACGAAGAAAAAGTGCTTCACTCAGAGATAAACGTGAATTAGGTAAAAATAAAGCATAGCGAAAAAAAAAACAACAAAAAACAACAAAACAGCAACACTAACAACAACAAAAAAACACCAGAGACAAAATAACTACCACTAAAAAAAGCAACTCAACAATAATGAAACCCAAAATAAACAAACAAACAAAAAAATTTGCAGCACTTAGGCGTCCTGCATTACATCAATATCTGTTGAAGCTTAATGACAGCGTGAAAAACATAAAATACGCTTCTTCTCTTCATTCTTTTTAGAAAAAGAACAAGATAATGTTTTAACATACGAAGAGGTTGCCCTTTACACTCCTAACAACAACAARCAAAGGCCAATTCTACTCATAGGTAATATTTCAATCTATATAGCTTGAACTTTAACCGGAAAAATATGGAAACTGTTTTTAAAAGACTTCCTTTTGCAGGTCCCCACGGTGTAGGGAGAAACGAGCTTAAGAAAAGACTACTCGCTAGTGACAATGAACGCTTTGCAACTGCRGTCCCGCGTAAGATGTTTCGACTTTATACTCGATCCTTCATAGTTAACAAGTTGTTTTACTTTGRAACTTTTTATTCTAGATACTTCAAGACGAATTCGTCCCTATGAGACMGATGGGAAAGAATACAACTTTGTGTCAAGAACAACAATGGAAAACTACGACCAAAATAACAAATTTATAGAATACGGGGAGTACAGAAAATGCTTGTATGGTACATCTATAGATTCTATTAAGCGAGTGCTCAAGACAGGGAAGATTTGTATTATCAAAATACAGCCCCAGGTAGGAGTCTTTAATMAACAAAACTAGTACAATATGAAGACCAAAGCGATGTTCATAACTACGTAAAAGCGAATTGAAAGAGAACAAAGCATGTGATGCACTCCCCTGCCGGATATATTGAGTAGGTTGCGGAGGTGTTGATGCAGGCTTTAAGAACAGATATCGATAAACAAAGAAAATAAGCTACCAGATTTTACATAAACTGCTTTCAGATAACAACAAAAATAGACGCGTGGTCATTTCAATTAAGTTTCGTTGGCAAATATATCGATAAAAAGAAAATCTACTAGGAGCAATCACTTGAATAACGGGTTGATGTGTAGATTTGGTTACGATATCTTGTTTTTACCTTCAATTTATCCCAATTTACGACGTCTCAGAGAGATATGTAAGTTGGTCAAAAAGCTAATTAGACAATGGACCAACTGCAWCAAATTTATTATGCCAATYTTCCATCAAAGTACAGTAAATTTTGGACAAAATGCAAGAATTCCTTTTCAAATTTGAGCAGCGACGATGTTTATGCGACAAGTAGTCGGACGCTTTTGTTTCTCGTACTTCGCCGTCTTAATGCGAGTTAATTAAAATGTTTCAATTATCAATTATTTTTATACGCTCATATCCCGTGTTTTTTTTTTCGCGCTTAAGTAATTTAACGTGATGTCACACTTTCACTATAAGGTAATGTTCAGCGGCGCCTATATTTTTAGAATAAAGAATGACTTGAGCGCAATTATCAAAATTTTTTTAATCTGTTTTCATTTAACATCATTTTTTTCTTGAAGGCAATAAAAATATTACGACAAAAGGAATACAARCCGTACATAGTGTACATTAAACCACCAACTCTTGAGAAACTCAAGGCCACGAGAATAACCGTGAAATCAAAGGCTGACAAGAAACAAGGACAGAGAATATTTAAGGTATTAAATGCAACCAGAAAGATTGACCATCTACACCAACTCCTTTACAACTTCTTTACACAACTGTTTCTTTAGAAACACCGACGCAGCTCACACTAGTTTACCGCTAGTTCCCACCATTACACCAACTCCCTTCTTTTTGAAATTGTGATAAATGTTTCCTATAATTGATTTTTGTCTTATATTAACTTAGGAAGATGACTTACAAGAAATGATCAAAGCTGGCGAAATAATAGAAAAAGAGTATGGACACTATTTTGATGAAATCATTGTTAACGATGACCTCCAAGTTGCTTATTTTGAACTAAACAATGCCATAGAACGAGTTACTAGTGAAGCATTATGGGTACCAGCCGAATGGATATGAGTASCACAGGAAGCCCAAAGTCCTAACAAGAWGAACATGATTGCAAGCMTGCATGCTGCTATGGCTTATTTCTCCCAATTTTTCTACAGCTCAATCTTTCTTTTTCTAAAAATTGACTAAAATAACATAATAATAAAAAGAAATCAAAAATAATGTTGACAGTCCGAGTTTCCTTGAATGAAAAATAAGCTCAGTAACACTAACAAAAAGTTTAAAACATATTCGGCTTCTTACAATTAGATTTCTATAGATATATTTGTTGACATGAGAACACAAGAGATGTGACATTCCCTAATAAAATTGCAATAAAGTGAAATAATTTTATACACAAAAGAAAAGAAGCACAATTTTTCATATGCAAAAAGACTAATTGTATTGGTATATCTATATACATCACATTAAAATTTAAACGTGACAAATTTGAAGATGAAATGCTATTTCTGACATTAACAATTAAGAATATGACTAGAGATTAAAGAGTTCATGAGTTTGTGTGATCTCAAGCATGSATGGAWAAYTTTAACCTGGAATAGTGCAAYACTAAAAGYATGAAAAATTACTACCCACATAGTGCTAGAGYGCCTTCAATGTATCCRTGAAACATTTTWAAARAAATTGCACAAAATTRCACTAATTAAATGTCAATAGAAGACAAAGAATTTTACACTAATTTGCCTAATTTTGTTTTCCAAACATTTCATCCATGGATATATTGAAAACACTCTCAACAGAGCAATATTTTTTAGATTAAATGATAGAAAACAAAGAAATTCACATAATTCAGTACAACTTTCTRTATCATCAAGTTTTTCATAGTTTTAGTATTTGCACTCTATACTACATATTTGTAGTACTTAATTATACATTTATACTAAATAGTACAACATATTGTACCTCATCAATAAATTAATGCATTCTTAATTTTTTGTTATGACAAATTACCTTACAGACACAATTTTTCGTTTTCAAAAAGCAATAAAATTTCCTGAAATTGCGCACTTAGTGAACATCCTWTCAGRCCTGTCAAGGAATGRCGTGTCRTAGTTTTACCCCGAGTTCTGTAGYTTGGTCATCTAATAAAACAATAATRGTAYCTATCTAGCTGTAAAACTTAACTCCTAGTCCACTGTCATCTGTAGAGTCTGGAGCCTCAAACATTTGAGCTTTTCCTTTGCTTTCCAGTACAGATAATGATTTCTTCATCATCCAAAGATCTATACCATGGAATTCTATGAAAAAAAATTGAAAACTACAAAATTACATTTGACATTTGTGATGTAACTACAGACTAAGACACCTTCCCAAATAATGGGTAACTATTACCCATAATATCAAAAAGTTCAAAAGGCAAAACCAGCAACCTAATTCTTTGTCAATAAAAAACAAAATGGCCGCTGCAGCATCAACTGAAAAATAGCAACATATTTGACATATTTTTACCTTCCTTTACTGTGTCATCTCCAGACATCAGTTCATATAGCGTACAAACAGTATCTGTCATGTTATTATCTTGAATCTTAAAAATAATTTGAATATTATTAGCAAAAAAACTTGGGTCTTGGAAGCGTCACACCACAGACTTGAAGAAAACACATACAAAATGCCTTTCCCTACCCATTGATATATCAAAGATGCCCATTCTTCTGGTTTTCTCCACATCACATGACATCGTTGTTGCCGTTTATCTTCCCATTCAATATTACCTAATGCACAGTGTAACAGATTAATTGTTAATATACTAGTGTAATGGTGGGATTTTAGTATTGATGGAAGGCGCGGAATGGAGTGCCACAAGTAATTTCTCTTTGTGCCCTCCCCTCCCCCCATATTTTATATTTCAAAATTATCAGCTGTTCTGCCTAGAGGCAATTGGATTTTAAATCTTATTTGTTGACCTGTGAGGCAATGACCAACAACATGTAACATGTATTACAGCTATTTTCCCACATAAATCAGTACTGTGAAATTATTATAATAATAATTTCACAGTGCTGATTTTGTTAAATATGTATAATTACCTCTTTTGTTCAACTCTTCAAGCACTACTAAAATGGCATCTTTTGATAACTTTCCTAGATGAATGTTAAGTCAAATGTATTTGGACACAATGCCATGATATCGTTATGAGTTGCTAGAGCTTTATACAGGAGAAATATAGGCCAGCACATACTAAAAGGATACTTTCAATTTTCTTATTGTAAAACAGTTCGTTGYTCGAGGCCTCTGTTATGTCCAACATGTACAGTTTCTTGTGCTTGTAGTACAGCAACACTAAATCACACCAAGCATCAAGTTGCTTTCTTTTTGTGTCTTGATTTGGCTGCAGACTAACAAAATATTACAACCACAGTTAAATAAGTTATGTTTTGACAGAGCAAATGTCAGAAATTCAGTTTTACAGCCTTAGAAATTCTTCATGATGTTGAAATAAAGCATCAAACGTTATCATTAAAGAGTTAATATTTGTTATTTAAGACTTTTGTATGTGTTCTTTGCAATACTTACGTGAAAAATGGAGGGAAATTATATTGCCAAGGCCATTCAAATTGATCCGCCATCTTGTCCATTCCACCGGGCGGAAAACACAGGAAGTCCGGTTACACTATACATTGACAATAATGTCCGATACTTTGAAAATATTATTAGTCAATATTGGTAATCGTCTTTTCAGATTTTTGAAGTTTCATCACTACCAGGCTCTTGGCAACAACTCGCACAACTGTAAAATAAAAAATCGTATGCACATACTGTACAATTAGGTGCCTATCATCTTTGCTGAGGTAAATTAAACCTGCTCCATTTTGAGTGTTACATTTCGTGTTCCGTGTTCTTGTTAATGTTAGAGCGGATCTCGTATGAGTGGGAAACGGACGGTACTGTACTGTGACCGTAATCGTACTGTAACCAAATTCTAGTGCCCCATTGGTTCACCAAAATTGTGCAGGCCAGGTGCGGGGGCGGTAACTGTGCGGTAACCGTGCGGTGACGGTGTCCCAAATCCGCTCTAGACCTATAATACATAGACCTCATGGAATCATCGAAATATCTAAAGGATTTCAGATAGGAAGCCCGAGCTCGACTCTGAACTCAGATTCGAGCTCGGGCTTCCTTTAAGAATGCCCAAAATCATTTTTTTGCAGTACGAATTTTTTTCAGAATCACTGAAACCTCCGATTACAAGTGGGAGCACATATAATAGAATCTAATTATGATAAATAGACCTCTTGGAATCACATCAAAATAGCTAAAGGATTTCAGATAGGAAGCCCGAGTAAGGGTACATTTTTTCAAAGCCGAAAGCCCGAAAGATGTTGTGACTTTCCGRGTCAATACATTTCTTGCCAAAAAGAAACCTCTTGTCCAGGCCTCTAGTACTGACAACAATGTCCCTGTTTGCTCCAAGTCGTAGTACAGTATCAATCTAGTGGGGTACTRATCTCAGACGTTGCATTTGTGACAGATTCCAGGCCAACAATGATGTTTTAGAGCAAGGCACGGTCTTAAAAATGCATTTTCGCTGCTATGATAAAAATGGGAAAAAATTATACGCAGAATCTATCAAATCATCGTGGTGCTWACAAAAATATATTCCACGGCCGAAAATTCTCTACACACTTGACGTAACCTGGACAGGGTGTGAAACAAAAATTATGCACATGACTAAACCAGTCTTTAGCGTCTACTCGGGAAACCTCCATGGAACAGTGGAAAATTGTGAAAGGGCCTGGAAAAAATGTTATATATATATGTAATGCTATAAATACTCGCTGATTTCTTTTTTATTCCGTTTTTTGCAAGTAGCTATGTAAGTCAGAGCTATATACTGATCTCAGGAGGCGCTGTGTAAACATTGATGGGAAGATTAAAGACAATTGATTGAAAGTTTCATTTCAAGATCATCCATAGCTCTAGTAATCTAATATTCAGACWGGACATATGCTTCTCCATCTCCTGCTTCTAAATCGGCTTTCTCGCAAATAAATCTGAATTGAAGAGCAAATTCAATTTTTCGCTATCGATGTTTTGACTGAGGCCGTGGTATAGCATGGTGACAGGCCGCGGTATGGCCATGATTTTACGTGGGACCTGATAGACGTTCTTCGTTGGACAGTAAGTTGCCTGTCTTSCGGAAGAATGAATGGATAAAAGAGTGGATAAATAAATGAGCAAAGCTTGAAAAGTCCAGTTGGAAAAATTACCGCACCTTTCCTATTATACTCTGTTCACAAAAATTACTCGGGAATTAAAATATGGCGTCTTTAAATTTATAATTTGACGCTAATTCTTCAAGAGTCAAGTGAGTAAAAGTGTATGCGGTACCCTGTAGTCACGTTAACATTCCTACTCCACACCCTCAATAAAACCAATCAAATGMCAGTGTTTACGTAACGACTCTATATTTGGTCATGTTACGCTTGGGTGCGGCGTGAATCAAAATACGCTGGAAGCACAATCAGCATTCACTTGGGTGCCCGGGATTTTGCAGAGCAGAGAAAARAACAACCGAAGATCTAAAAGTGAATTTTATTCCTTGTAACTGCTTGCAAAATGTCCAGTAGCAAGAAAGCCAAGAAGGGAACCAAAAAGAGAGCTCAGCGAGCAACTTCCAACGTCTTTGCTATGTTTGATCAAGCTCAAATACAAGAATTTAAAGAGGCATTTAACATGATCGATCAAAATCGAGATGGCTTCATTGACCAAGAAGATTTAAAGGATATGTACGCTTCTCTAGGAAAGTTCGTGAGCGACGACTTTCTGAGCGACATGATAAATGAAGCATCAGGAAGTACGATCAACTTCACGATGTTCTTAACTTTGTTTGGTGAAAAGCTCAATGGGACAGATCCCGAAGATGTGATTAGAAATGCCTTCGCTTGCTTTGACGAGGACGGCGTTGGATCGATACACGAGGATAAACTATGTGATATGTTGACTCAAGTCGGTGATAGGTAAGCTGARTTACTCTTTTATATTTTAGAATTCAAGACATCTCGACTTAGTTAGAAGTTGTTTGTCTAGTTCTTGTGTGTATAGTTCGGGACCCCCTAAAAGATTTAATTAATGCCCTAGTTGTATTCTGACACCAACTGAAGAACTTTAGGACAGCATTTTACTGTTTAAGATGTTCAGTTGGATTATTTATTGTACTTTTTGAAGGCGGCCATGAGCCAGCTGTACCTTAACTGCAGTTTTGATCTCATAATAAATCAAATGTTACAGCAATGCAAGGATAAGTGTATCAATTACCCCTAACAGATAAGCTAAATTCCAAAGTATTTTTTATAACATGCTCATTGTACCATAACAATGCTGTGCATAATCTGTTTATCCGAAAAGGCATTGTCTTTACGCTACTCCATGTAAATTTGAAAGAGCAGACTGTTTTATCAAACGCTCCATAACAAAACAGACTTATGTTAAAATAGCACAGGAATGGAAGGGTATGTCACTTGTAATACCCGGCTTACGTCTGTTACATCTAACTCAATTATTTAAAAAATCTAGCGCTTTTAAAATATTCTTTTGTCTTCATTGTACTATATAAATTAACTAAAGAAGAGTTTTTCCTGTGGTTCAGAATGTACAATAATATTTAACACAAAAATGTACACTCTTCGAATTAGTCTCAAAATTTAGTTAGGTCATAACGAATATCGTATGTCGTCACGCAAAGCCTTTTCCGTTGCGTGACTCATGCCACCATGTCTGGTTGAACTTTTGAAGAATAAAATATCCAGCTATAGACTTCTTTACAACTCCTCGCAGAAAAGATAGTGGTTGAGGTTGTAATTTTTTTGCCCCATGTTCGAAACACAACTATATTGTCTCATTTTGATACAGTATCCAGTCAAGGTGATGCTTGGATACCAAAGGAACTTTTGACTTATAACTTTTTGAAAATACTGATTAATATCCAAAACTTTAACTTATTGTTTAAACTTTCTCTAGGTTTAGTGAAGATGAAATTGATGAAATGTTGGAAGACTGCCCAGTTGACAAAAAGGGTAACATCGACTAYATCACTTACACCCAGATTCTGAAACGAGGCAAGAAAGACGATGATGAAGATCAGCAGCCACCTAAATAGACTGTCTGTAAAAAAAACCCTGAAACTGATGTAGAATATACTCAAACTTAGGCATATAAGCAGTTTTTTCCCAAGAATGTTACAGTATTAACAATCTGTCATATATCATCAATGATGTATACAACAACTTTTATTTTCTTGTGTGAATTGTTAATAAATTAATTTACATGTGAATGGATATTTTGTTTCAATTGATTTGATTGTTACAGTGCAAGTCACAAAGCTGTGACAAGGCAGAATTATCTCTGGAAATGTTTAAATCAGGTGAAAACATAAGAGGGAGGGGAGGGAGGGGTCTGCAACACTTAAACCTACCAGCTGAATCCACCCCTGCACTAGCTGATACACTAAACAGCAAGATGAAAAACATTAATGAACTTTGCATTTATTCATAACAATGAAATTGTACCATTTGTGAGCTTGTAAAGCTCATCTTTTTTTTCAGTGATAAACATTTACTAGCTCATCCTTTTTTTCAGTGATAAACATTTACTATATATCTATAGTTGATCATTTATTGTGCCTCTATAGTCCTATTCTGTACTGGATTTAATTTAAACGGTTCTTATAAATTAAATTGGATTGACAATATAAAATTAATAGAGTGATTGCACTTAAACTGTGCAACTGTACAAAATCTAAGTATTACTCAATTTGTACTAAAAGTGGATCTGAAGCAAGACGGCATGCTTCATTTGTATCTTAATAATTTGCATAACTCATGCACGATTTACTGAACACAACTAAATAGCACTATTTGTACAGTTGCACCGTTTAAGCGCGATCACTCTAATAAAGCAGATAATACCATTTTAAACTATGAAACATAAATAGTAAAGACTTGGTGGTAAATAATAATTATGTTATTTCCTCTTTCTCCTAGTAAGAGTGAAGCCAAAAAATCTGTGAAATGAATATGACACCAATACACCATAGTATGCTGTAATTCCATTTTCTTTTGTGTCTACCTGACTATCACATTTCAATTTGGTCAATTTTTGTTTCAATGGTTCAATGACTTCACTGCTGTTAACTCAGGACTAGTCAGCAGCCATTGGTACTATTGCTTTTTTGGTGCACTTGTGAATAATTAGTCATATCTCYATTAATAGAGCGGATTTCRYATGAGTGGGAAACGGACRGTACTGTACTGTGWCCGTAATCRTACTGTAACCAAATTCTAGTGCCCCACTGGTTCACCAAWATTGTGCAGGCCAGGTGCGGTAACTGTGCGGTAACCGTGTGGTAACGTGTCCCACTCATACGAAATCCGCTCTATAATGAATGGATACATAATTTATTTTATCATTTTTGACAGTTGTCATCATTTTTTCTTTTGTTCTCTTCAATCCACTGATCAATTCTTTCTTTAAGATCGTTATCAGGAACAAGGTCGGCTATGGACAGGGGTTTCCTGTTGAATGGATCTTTTTCATCACTGTATTTAGAAAAAAAAAAGATTGGCTGTTACTTATGCCATAACTAGTAAAAGTATGAATAATGATAGGGCGGATCACGGGAGGGGCAAAGAGGTGCTGAAGCCCTCCTCCTTTGAACAGAAAAAGTTAGCTGTTTTTTATTATTTTCAACATTGTTATAACAAACAAAGCCCATACAGCCACCCCTTAAAATTTCAGCTGGATCCGCCCTTGCAATGTCAGTGTTATAAAGCTTGTAAACAAATAATCAGACTGCGCTTGTAATGATAACTTTGTTGAGTTGGACATTTTAGTTTTATTTTACCTTAGCAAGTGCCGACAAATGACATCTTTATCAACAATCTTTCCTGAGGTTGGTAACAGCATTGGCTTTCGCATAAGTGTATCCATGATTGGGTCCTTGAATTCATCTGGAGGCTACAAGAACAATAGAGGAATTTATTAAAAGCCCATGATTTCCACATGAATGATCCTTTGCTCTATTTACCTCTGGGAGATCTGAATCGTCAAGGGGACCATGTTCTTGGATTCTGCGTGCAAGTGAGTTAAGTTTAAAGATAACTTCAGCTGGTCTTCCAATAAGTCTGAAAACATAAAACAAATTTATACGCTATAATGTAATATCTA